CCTTTTTATTTATGGCATTCCAGATTAGGACATTTGTCTGTTGACCACTTACGGTCCTTAGCTCAGAACAACAGGAGTAGAGACAACTGGTGGTGGAGGAGCCTGGCGACGAGAATAGACCAACAACGGAAGGGAAGAAGAAGCCGAAGGAGGAGAAGGAGCCCTAGGTGACGCAGACGGAGAAGTAGGAATGGGCTCGAGAGGAACAGTGGAAATGTACTCATCAGATGGGACCTCAAAAGGAAAGGGGTCAATGTAAACCAAATCCTCTTTGGAAACTGGAGCAATAAGAACGGGAAGCTGAAAGTAAGATAAACGTTCGAGAAAGACAACATGATGGGAGACATAAAGGCGACGAGACAGGATCGTAACAGCGATAGCCTTTATGAGTAAGATTGTAACCTAAAAAGGCACAAAGGACAGACCGGATACTAAGTTTGGTCCTATCTTTGCCGGGAAGAAGGACAAAACAAGCAGACCCAAACACACGAAGAATGGAGTAGTTAGGAATTTGGGAGAACAAAGCTTCATAAGGAGACCGACCAGAAAGAAGGGGAGTAGGCATGCGGTTGAGAAGAAAAGTAGCAGTAAGAACTGTCTTTTCCCAGAATGGAGCTGGAATTGATGCAGAGAGAAGAAGAGACCTAGTTGTCTCAAGGAGATGATAGTGTTTACGCTCGGCTCGACCATTTTGGGCTGGTGTATCTGTACAAGAAGTTTGGTGAATGGTACCCAAATTGGCCAAATACTCTCAGAACTCATTTTTAAAATATTCCCCACTCAAGTCAGACCGTAACACTTTAATGGTAGACCTAAACTGAGTAGTAATCATAGATTGAAAGGTACGGTATATCTGATAGAAATTAGACTTATGAGTCGTAAGATAAACCTGTAACGGGCGCGATCATTAACAAATGACACATAATATGCAGAATCCTCCTTGGTGAGGACAGGAGAAGGGCCCCAGACATCAGTATGAACTAAAGAAAACGGTGTAGCAGATATAGAAGTACTATTACAGAAAGGTAAGTCTGTCGTTTTGGCAAGTTTACACCCCCGACACTCGGTAAGTTGACTAGGAAAAACTTTACCCAATATACCTGACTGAGCTAAGGACCGTAAGTGGTCAACAGACAAATGTCCTAATCTGGAATGCCATAAATAAAAAGGACTAGATAGAGAATCTAACTGAAAAAAAGAAAAGACAGTTGGAGAAGTAATCATAGACAGATGCAAGCTTTCCATTACATAGAGGTCTCCAATTCTATGGTCAGTCCTAATCTACTGCTTGGACATCCAATCCTACATAAAACAGATAGAAGAAGAAAAGATAACATCAAAACTAGAGGCATCAAGCTGACTGATAGATAATAAACTGACAAATAATTGAGGAACATAAAAGACAGATGGAATAGAGACAACAGACATAGCAGATGGTAGGACAGACCTAACAGATATAACAGACATACCAGACCCATTAGCAGCATTGACAATAATGGAAAATGGAGAAGGAGTACAATTTTGAAGTAAGGGAAAATGGGGAGTCATATGATGAGAGGCACCAGAGTCAAAAATCCAGACAGACGAAGAAATATCTGAAGAAGACCCAAGTAAACCTGAATGAAGAGAGGAAATAATAGAGGCAGACGGGGATGGCTGGGAGGTAGATAATGTATGCTAAAGTTGACTAATCTGAGCACTCAAGGAAGCCAAGTCAGGATCAAGAGCTGGAGTAGATGCAGTAAAATCGACGGAAGCCTAAAGATTACTCAGAGAAGAAGGGCAAAACTGGGTCCGAAACTGCTGATAATACGAGCCAGACAAGCATCCCTTCTTGGGACAATGATATTTCCAATGGCCTCACTGATGGCAGAAGGCACACTCATCAAAGGCCAAAGACATCGTAATAACCAGAGAGATGAGGGTCTCAAGTGTAATAACTCCAAGATAGAACAAATTAGCCAAACTAGGGTCAAGGGTAATAACCAAAAACAACCGAGGGGTTAGGAGTAATAAACCCAAAATAGCTAAATCAGAGATGCTTATGACCCACAAACCAGTTGAACCGAGAGCGAGAGCCCTTCGCACCAGACGAACACAGAGACGGAGAGAGAGCCGACCTTTGCAAGGTGAGAGAGAGACCACTTGCGAGAGAGACAGAAGCTGAAGTTGATGCAAACCAGATGCGATAGAGGCAAGAAGTAGAGGTCGCGGTATGAGTCGCGATATGGGTTAAACAAACCGCGATGTACTGAGCTTCAGAAACTCGAACAACTGAGGGTTTTGCGAACTAGAAGCGTGGTCGATGGTGAGTCGTCGTGACCAGACACACATGGAGAAGGGCCTCAACAACTTGACTGTGAGCAGGACCTTGCGATAACGAACCAGAATCAGAGAGGGAGTAGTGACGAGAGACAGAGTTCAATGCTAGGGTTCAGACAATGATGATAGGGTCTGATACCATGTAAGATTTCTAAATGATTTATGTATATTCAATTGTGTATGTTTACAAAGAGTGCATCAGTTATATAGCCCTAATCTATGACAGAAAAGGGAAATACAAAGAAAAAGGAATTGCCTAAAATTGTCTAATTCTTAATATACCATATATAAAATATATATTCTCACACAAAACCAGAGATACAAACTGTGGTCAAAACGTAATAAGGGAGAAACTCCAGAATAGGGTCAAAATGTAATAAGAGAGATACTTTAGAACAAGTTAAAGGACCATATAAAGAGATCACCCAAGCAAAGAGATCATCGACCAAAGTCGAGAGAACCAGAAGGAGAGAGACAAACTGAGCTGTGAGGAGACGAAGCACTGCTACCATGTCGAACAGATAGGTCGACTAGATGGGTCACCCAAGTCGTCCAGAAAGAAGATGTTGAACCACGTTAGAGGTCGAGAAAAGAAACAGACCCAGACGAACCAGAATGAGACAGCTTAATCGAGACCAACGAACCAGGAGAGAGATGATAGCTTTGATCGAGACCAACGAACTAGAATCAGAGACTAAAGGCTTCAATCAAACAGAAACGATGACCCACGATGAGTGTCGAGTCGAGTTTCTGAACCAGAGAGAGAAACGACGGCCCTTTGCGATTAGACCAAGAACAGAGAGTCGCGACTTCAACTTAGAGACAAGAAGCTATCACGACTTTGCAGAACCACCGAGAGAACTTCGAACAACCTAGGGTTTTGGCTCTGATACCATGTAAGGTTTCTGAATGAAACTGTATATTCAATTGTGTTTGATTACAACAAGACCCTAGATTATATAGCCCTAACTCCTAAACCAAAAAAGGAAAATACAATCACCGCCTTAATCATGCCTATACACAATCATGCCAAATATAAAATATACACTATATATTCTCACATTGATATGGTACAAGTTTGTTGATGCGGTAAAATCTAAACAAAGTAAAAAATAAAAAATATATTATTTTTAATTTGGAGTAATGAAAAACATAGTTAATTGGTTTAGTTGGTTATGGGTCTAACCTATAGAAGTACCATAGGTACAACAAAAATTTTAAAAATAAAATAAAATTGGGTACATGTTTCATGTATCCAGTGGTACACATAGAAGTATCATGCAAAGTACTCAATACGTACCTGGTACGGGTACTACATGTTTTTCGAAGTATCCATGCTTTATTGTAGATAGGTCACAAGTTCTTTTGGTATGTATTTGTCAGCCTTATTTTTTTTGATAAGTAAATAAATATTAAAACGGCATCAAGGCGATGCAAAGAATACAAAAAGGCAACCCAAGAGAAGGGCCAAAAAAATAACTAATCAAATCATCTGCAAAATTTACAAAAGCCCACACATCCGGATCCACCAGAACCATAACCCAACTATGTAACATAGTAAGTAGAGCCTACTTTCCAACCACGGAACTAATCGAGACACACCTTGGAAAATACGCCTATTCTGCTCTAACCAAATCAACCAATTAAGCACTGGGAAGCAAGCATCCGGGCCTTTCTGACGCCTTTTCCCTACACTCCCCCACCCCAACTCCGCACTAAAACCTCAACACAGTACCTGGTTGTACCTAAACCAAACCAAAATTTGCAACAATATGCATCCAAAGTCGCAACGCAACCGGACAATGAATGAGCAAGTGGTCCACCGACTCGGCATCTTCACAACACAAGCAACACCAGTTAACAAGAATATGATGATGATGGATTAGATATTTCCATTAATTCAAACAATTGCTTGACGTGTGAATTCCATATTTCCATTAATTCAAACAATTGCCTGTCAAATTTCCAACACACCTTGATGTGTTAGACCTTTTCATTAAGAAATAAAAAAGGAAAGCAAATGTAAAATTTTTTGATACAGTACATTTGGTGGCCACAATTAAAATTTGCAACATAAACTTTTTAATATATGAAAAGATCATAACTGTAAAAATAACCAAAGAGAAACTGGTATTTATATATTGCCATGTGGCCTTACATGTTCATACGTTTGTTTACTTATAATAACATGCGTGTTTCTGTATATACATATGTGTATTGGGTTCAGATCTTATCTGTATTGTGTTTTCCCAGGCCCAATTTCAACCCATCTATAATCAGATCACACAAATCAGATTCAAATTTTGTGAGAATTTGTATTCATTTCTGAATTGATTCTAGTCCAACTTGTCTACAGCCAAGTTTGTGTATTAAATTTACCATTCTAGTGCAGATGTGCATAAGATAAAGTTATGTTGTCCATTACTGAGTGGCTGTTGCCTCTGTAGTAAAAACTAAATAATAAATTAAATTGAAAAACTTGGGGTGAAGAATCACCAAAGTTTTGGTTGAAAGGTTAATGTAGGATTCAGTTGAACATGATACCACAACCGATGGTGGAACCTTTCCATGGTGATGCTTGGATAGGCGTGTGCATTTAGCATATATGTTCTGACAGATTTACTCACTTTTCATTTTTTGTTCTACATGTAGTTGAAAATGTGGTTATGTATGTGCAGTTTACTGTTGTTGGAGTGCACTCTGCCAAGTTTGATAATGAGAAAGATTTAGAAGCTATTCGCAATGCTGTCCTACGCTATGGAATCACTCACCCAGTAAGCTACATGCTTTGTGCTCTGAATTGGTAGTGTCTTGAAGTTTCTGATTGCATTTTGGGTGCTAATAGACTATATATTTATTGTGGTTTTCTTTGATAGAATATTGGCCATTGTTCACTTATTGGCATATGAAGAACTATTGTGACTTCATCATTGATATGTTTCTAGGGGCTTGAGTATTAGACCTTGTATTGAACTGTGTACTGGACTTTGTTTGATTTAGTATATGTTCAATTTGTGTAACCTTGAATGGCATGTTGATCAGCTATGGGCATTTGCTCACATTCTACATGTAAATATTCGTGCACTGATGCAGTGTATTTCTTGTTTCTGCTTGTGGTCATGCATTTAAAGATTTGTTTCCTTCATGCTACTTGCATGGCAAGTCATGCCATCCTCCTGTGGTACAGAAGTACAGATTTGGCCTCTCTGGTTTTGTAGTTGTTAATTTGGTGACATATATAATACACTAAATTCTATTTTATTGTAAAAATGAAATAGCTTCTTTTTTATGTTGAGAGGATCCTTTGTTTTGCCTTGATGATAACTGATAAATACTATGTGGAGGTCCTTGTGGTGCCAAATATACTCCACAAAATACCATAAATTGGAGCTCTCAATGAGTGAATTGAAGAAGTGCTTTGAAGGAAATACCCATTATGTTTGAAGGTTAGAAATGCTTTACCATAGAGAATGCTGCAAATGAATGAGTAGGTTTAAGTGGGTGAAGTAGGTGGAGAGTAGGTGGATTTTAACAGTTAGAAATGCTTTACCATAGAGAATGCTGCAAATGAATAAAAAAGAAGTCCATGAAGTAAGATTACTCAAAGTTAGGATGTTATAGGAGTTGGGACGGAAGAGGAGGGGAGGGTGTTAGTTAATGGTTTTCATTTTTAATGTTTTCGCATTTAATTCATTAATTGCGAAACGTGGCCCTTTGCTTCTCTGTTTGTTCTAGTTTTTCAGTTAACTGTGTAGAAGTCTTCTGTGCATGAATTTTAAAAATGGGTCAGATTCTCATATGCTTACCTGCATCCTTAATTTTTGTCAAAATTCCATTAATTTTTGTGATATTCTGGTGTTTTACTGCCTACTTTTCTGCCTTTTAAACTAGTCATTCTTAGTATTTTTTGCTTTCTGAACACTAGGTTGTCAATGACGGGGATATGTACTTGTGGCATGAGCTAGGCATCAATTCGTGGCCAACATTTGCAATTGTTGGGCCCAACGGTAAGCTCCTTGCGCAAATATCAGGTGAAGGTCGCCGAAAGGTACTTATGTCATTCTATAATTTATGTAGGTGATCAGTTTGTTTATGCTATGATAGTAAAGTAATTTTCAAAAATATGAATGTAAAAGTATTTTATTGCATTTCTTACTATGTGGTTATTATGACTGTTGCTCTCTTTAACATGCTGCTTTGATCAAGGACTGAAAATGATGATGGAAAAACCTTAAGTAAGACTAAAAGGAGGAAAAGGATTAAGGATTGGAAAAGATGGAAACATATTAACATTCAAGACTGAAGGAACCAGGATGTGTGGCTGTGTGTGTATCTGGGGGTTGGTACTCACAATGAAGTGCCAATGTAAATTCAAACTAAGCATACTTGGTTGCTCTTAAGTTCTCATATTTGTAACTGACTTGAGTAGTACATTAATTAATTCGGTTGATTAAAAATTGATGAATCATCTAAACAATGCATTGGAACCTGGAAGCTTCTCCTTTAAACTAAACATATAATATCAGAAAAAACAAAGAATGTAAGATCTTTAATTATGTATTCTATCTCTTCTCTGCTTTTCTTCTTTTGGTTTAAATTGAGTTTATCCATGATACCATACATTTGAATGACAAGAGTAGGAAGTTGGAACACGCATTGAGAACTAAAGATTTCCTCATCCTGGGGATTACGAAATTAAAAAAAAGAAAAAGAAAAAAGAAAAAAGTACAGAAATGTAAAAGTGACTGAGATGTGAGGGGAGAACTTTGTTAAACATTTCCAATGAAGACCTAATGCAAATTAATAATCATGATTTAGCCATCAATGATGAATTCAAAAAGTCCAAATGAAATTTCTAATGCTTGACAAGGTCATGGACAGTAATAAGTAAAGCTAACCAACTAAGCAAGGTAGAATATTTTAATGGCCTATACATAACTTACTGAAATTCTGAAAGCAGAGCACATCTAGATTGTGGATGAATCAATCTAAACAAAACTTATGCAAAAATACATGATAATTGTTTCAACAAGCCTTGTTGGGTGCATCAGATGTTAATTTGATCTTTTGTATGGTAGAAAATTGCATTTTTGTTAATATCAAATTCAGATGTTAATTTGAAATTTTTTAACATCTGAATTATTTTGATATTAACATCTTTGCATCTTTGTTAATGTTATATCAAATTTAGTTGTTATAAAATTCAGATGTTAATTTTCTCTTGGCCATTTCAAGTGGCCTCCCACAGTTTGTTTCTGTACAACATGTTTCTTAATATTGAGGTATACATTTCTCAGATTGTTATTGTTTAAAAATTTAGTAAAATAATTGTTGTTGTATCCTCCCTCCCTCTCTCTCTCAAGGATCTTGACGATTTAGTGGAAGCAGCTCTTCTGTTCTATGGTGGAAGGAAGATGTTGGACACAAAACCCATCCCCTTGAGTTTGGAAAAGGACAATGATCCCCGTTTATTGACATCTCCCTTGAAATTTCCTGGCAAGCTTGCAGTTGATGTCCTCAACAACCGACTTTTCATTTCAGATAGTAACCATAATCGAATAGTAAATTCTCTCTCTCTCTCTCTCTCGCTTAACCAGAAGTTCGCACACATTTTTAGTGCATGATTCATTCCTGGTTTGAAAATTGCACATTTACTAGTTGCTATAACCTGAAAATGCAGCTTTTGTTGTTACTATACAAAGTTCAATGACGTAAGTACTCTGCCTCTCTCAGGAGTCTACAAGAGTCCTCTCATGTCACCAGAGGGTAGATATCAACATTTCTCAAAATCTGATGAGAAAAACTGAAAATACCGGATGTTAACCTTATATTATATATGGAGTTCTAAAAAATTTGGCTTAGGCTAATGCAGATTCAATCTTCCCTCTTCCCCCTTTTTTTATTGCACCCTCCCACTGTAAGTTTCTTCCTTCATTTCTTTCCATATTTACTTTCTATCTCCTTTCTAATGTTACCTACTTCAACTCAACTCAACTCGACAAAGGCTTGTCCCAGCTTTGCAATTGGCTACATGAATTTACTATGGCTATGTTTTATAGTTTAATAAATTTTACTTTCAGTATGGGTACAACATGTTTGTCGAAGTACCCATACTTCATAGGTGCTTACATTGGGCAGAACCTCTGATTAAGTAATAATTAACTTTTGAATGAAAAAAAAGGAAGTTACCATTATAGACCTAGAATACCCAAAAACTGTCTGTGAAAAGTCTTGTTGTGTTAGGATCTCGTTGATAGTTAAACATTTGACTTGACTAAATAAAGCCTGGTGTCAACTATTGTGGCCAATATTCAACGGCCAAAAGTTTTATGATGAAAGGCAATTACCTAGCGTGTGTTATATTTTTTCTAGAGTGGTGGAAGGCATGGACTAGTATGGACCTAACCTTAAACACTTTTAACATAAAGTGGCTGTGGATAGATTTGAAGCTATGCTTTCACACTTGACAGTCCAAGCTTTTAAAATCTACCAAGCAATAAACACTTAAATCATTATCATTTTGGTTTATATATGAAGAACTTTTCTTTTCCTTTTCTCCATCTTCATGATGTTTATATGTGCATGTGGATCTGTTTCAATCGAAAATGCCTGGATTTGGGATTTAACCATATTGTTTCATCTGGAGTTTAGGTGGTAACTGACCTAGATGGGAATTTCATTGTCCAAATTGGGAGCACAGGAGAGGAAGGTTTTCGGGATGGCAACTTTGAAGATGCCACCTTCAATCGGCCACAGGTAATGGTCAGAGTTATTTTTTCAAGAGTGTTGTTATATTTCGTTTGGCCTCCTTGCTTTTCATACATATATTTAGTAGAAGCTACTTATTCATTTGGAGAACTTATGTGTGTATCAAGGCTTTCCATTATATGTTTCATCATGTTTATAATTGGTTGTATGCACAGTAACGTAATATTTGTGTTTTCAGGGTCTTGCTTATGATCCAAAGAAAAATCTTCTTTATGTAGCTGATACTGAAAACCATGCTTTAAGGTAGTAGAACTGATTTAGTAGTTATCTTGAATTGATTGACGCTTTTAATTTTCTCTACATCCTAGCACTGAAATAGAAAGATATTACATTTTTGGGTTAATTTCACTTTTATCCCCTAAACTATTATCATTTTTTTTTTTCCTATTTCATCCTAAAATTAACAATTTCATTTGTTTAGTTCATAAGGTTTCTTATTTCAGTTTCACATGGTCCAATTGGTGACAGTCTGCCCAAATCAGTAATGGTGAAAACCAAACCTAATGGGCAAAAAGTTAGTTTTATAATTTAGATAACCTAAATCATACAATTGAACACCATCTTACCGACACCACATTAAACAACTTACACGCTACAACTAAACACCCATCTCCTTCTCCACATTTCACTTCAATATAGTGAATAAAAAAATTGAGTGTTTAGTTATATGGTTTAAGTTACTCAAATTTTGAAATGACCTTTTTGTCCATCAATTAAGCTTTAATGGTTATTGATTTGGATAACAGTCTTCAATGGGACTACATTAGCTGAAATTAAAAGTTATAGGGACTAAATACACAAAATTAATAGTTTAAGGATGAAATAGAAAAAATAATGATATTTTCGGGTATGAAAGTGAAATTAACCCCACATTTTATGGCTTTATTTTCATTTGTATTAGATATTGTTTTCTCAAATTTGAACTCATGTAGTTATTTAATATTTTTAATAAGATGAGAGACATTCATAATTGATTTTGAAATATTGCACATGCAAAACATTTGGAAAAATGAAACTTTTCAATACTCGTTAATTGATGCAATATGTATAATTCAACAATGTTTAGATCAGTATTTTCTGCTCCAAGGGTTTTACTTGACGTAAAAGAACAGGTATCTTGGTAATGAGGAGTGCTTTAATCAGATCCTGATAATATTGTATGGTTTCCCTTGTTCTATATGTGATCACCATGATAATTTTTTGTTATTCTACCTATCATCATCTAGAACATTATGAACATGAGTTAAGATCTGAATGTTTAAAAAATTATGCGCTTTCACATGGTTTTTGAAACCAACAATTGGAGTCAGCTACTCAGGATTAAATTGGCAGCGTATTGATAATCTGGAAAGATTTTACACGGATTTCTTATATTTTTTATTTCTTCAACTTTTACTGGTGTAGGGTGATTGATTTTGTTAATGAGACAGTGCAGACTCTTGCTGGAAATGGAACCAAAGGTTCCGACTATAAAGGGGGAGGAATGGGAGCCGCTCAGGCAAGAACAAAGAACATGAATTTTTTTTAGTCTTTTACTAGTTTGTTAGCATCTAGGGGTGACCATTGGTTCAATGGTAAAACCTTGGCTTAATAACCTTGAGGTTATGGGTTCAAGTCTCGGGGTAACCACTTTGTGCACTATGCCAAAGGTTAGATGTATACCCAATTTTTTCCCTCCCAAACACATATTAATGTGTATTAATTGGGCGTTGTTTTTTTTACTAGTCTGTTAGCATGCAATTAATTATGAAAGAGGGCCTCTTGTTAATTATTTATCAGACACTCATTAACTTTGGTGCCTTAGAGCGATCCCGATGTAAAAAATTAAATTTCATATCAGGCTTCCCAGATAGGCATCTTTTAAAATCATGCATTTCTATTCTCATTCTTTCAGCTTCTCAATTCTCCTTGGGATGTCTGCTATGAGCCAGTCAATGGGATTGTTTACATTGCAATGGCTGGGCAGCATCAGATTTGGGAACATAATACATCTGATGGGATTACTAGAGCTTTTAGTGGTGATGGTTATGAAAGAAACTTGAATGGTTCAAGCTGATGGGATTACTAGAGCTTTTAGTGGTGATGGTTATGAAAGAAACTTGAATGGTTCAAGGTAATATATGGAATACGATGACCTCAAGGATTAAGTTGGCTTTATTTGCTTCTCTATTTTCTTCTTTTACATCTCCTAATATATCTTTACATTTACTTGCAAGAAATTGCTTTGTGATATGAGAGGTATATGCAACCAGTACAGTTATTTGCAATGGCAGCGTTAAAACTTTCTTCCGTGTTTGGAAACCTTTTGGTTGCTAATATTGAATGTTTTGTTTTAGAGGATAATTTTTTTTTGGGTGTTATAATGACCATACCATGGGTAGCCATAAATACGTACACTAGAATAGAGAACGAACAGCATTTCCAATACATTGGTTAACTGGTACGAAAAGACACTTGTTCAAGTATTGAATAGATGAAAATATTGAAATTGCTGTTACATGCTAATTTTAACATATCATTCAACTTCAATAATCCATCTACATTTTTTCACTCACTTTTTCACTCTACTAAACCACCGGCACCTCTATCAACAAAACTCGTCATTTTTTGCACTGAATTTATTACCCAATAACAGTAATGTCAATAGATCTCATTAAACCTCAAAATAATTTCATAGTTATGCATATATTTGTCTATGCATGCCAAGATGTGTATAGAGATAGATACTTATATATTAGATAGACAACACAGGAACAGCCACAAATCCTTGATTATTAAAACAAAAAATTCAAGCAATTCTATTAGGAAGATCACATTGTGCGCGTCGTGGTGGAGCGTTCACAGTATTAATGGAGACAACAATTGGTGTTACAATGGGATTGATGATGATGGCTCTATGGGGTTTATTGTGGCCATGTTGCTATGCCTAAGTGGTGCAATAGCGATAATGGTGGTGGTGGTGGTGGTGGTGTCAGTGTTGCCACGGTTTTTGTTGGTGGGTTTGGATGGGGTTGATGCTAGTTGTGGATATGGAAGGTTTGGTGGTCGTGCAATGGGTTTGGTTGGGTTTGGGTTAAATGATGAAGGATAGAGTTCATATAAGGGACCTATGACTACAAGGAGTTTATAGAGGCAAAATGGAGGAGAGACACACTTGGAGAATTTATGTTGACCATGGTTGTGTGTGTAATTAATTAGTTGGAGGCGGAGTAAGGTGGTGAAGGTTTTGAGGTGGTGGTAATTGGGATATACTTTAAGGCAAAATGGAGGGTGTACTGATTAGGGGTGAATTTCATAATGGAGAAGATGGCACAACAGTGGTGGTGGTTTAGAGGTAGGATGCGGAACAAGTGAAGTGATGGTTGTGGAGAGTGGTCATTACTTAACTTGTTAAGGCATGTGACAATTAGACAAATGGTCTCTAACTAGTGGCGACTCTAGGAATTCCCCCCCCGGGGATGATTTACATCAAACCAACCTGTACTAAATTAAAATTATTCATAAACAATGTTTAATTTGAACTCAATTTTTAAAAGCTAGACACTAATTTGTATTTTTTTATTTGTTTGCTTACTAGATTGACTCTGAGTAGCGAATAAAAAGGATTAGATTGGCCTCAAATAGTTAAAAAGAAAAAAGAAAAGAAGTCTACATTGACCTAAGATCCTATTTTACTTACTTTTTCATTCAACTCAATAGGGTCATGTAAGAAATCCCACCCAAAATTTGAAAATACAATATATATTTAATTAATTTTGTAAATTTGATGGGGTCAACTAAACCCAAACTCATATACCTAGTGCTGCACTCTTATCATTTTTTATGGTCAATCTTTAGCGGAAGGATTAAAATCTGGGGATAAATGTGGCAGTGGTAACAATAGGAGTTAAGATTTTAGATGAGTTGGTGGTTAATAATTTAATATGATATCAATGTAGACAATAGATCCTATGTTGAGAACTCACCCCCAACCCTATGGTTATAATACTTTCACGCGTTTGGCTTATGAAGGAGAGCCTGGCCATGTGAGAGGACATGTTAAGGATATAACTGATAAATTTTCCTAGCTCTCGAACGGCTTAAGCTTTTAGATGAGTTGGTGGTTAACAATTTAATAGTTTCAAAGTGAAATTACATTTTTCTTAGTTTGTTAAATTTCCTAGATTCTCATAAATATGAATAGAAATGACCTTGTTTTGGATTGGGCACACTGCTCATATCTCAGTTAAATATGTAATGACTGAGTGGTTATGGTATTACTTAGAAAATATGAGGAAGAAGAACTCCGAAAATATGAGATTATATACATGCCACTATCTTATTATATGCATTAACACACATTTCCAGCAGTATTAAACCTGCTGAGCTCCCCCATGAAAGGGGAAAAGATGGTTGCAACCCATGTAAGCAACCCAATGATACATTTTGGATTAGGTTCAGTGCAATATCATGTATGCTCACACTTGAAAACGTATGTGAAAGCCATTGGTCTCCTTGGAGTTTAAATTGAATCTGATATATTCTTGCTTCTTCGTAGTTTGATTTACAGGTCATTTAGTTCTCTGCACATAAGCCTCACACTTTTTACAAGTCATTTGTATGATTACGTGTTTAACATTTTACTGTGTTTCAAATCATTCTTTGTCTATGAAGCACGGACACATCCCTTTGGACACGTGTCGGACACGGACACGCGTTGGACACGTTGTGGACATGTGTCCGACACTCTCCCTTACGTGTCTTTTTTTTTTGGAATTTTTCCAATTGGACACGCGGTGGCACGTTTCAGACAAGCGCGAGGTGGATCGAAGAAGCCCTAAACCTGTTGGAGAGGAAAGAGAGAGAGAGAGAGAGAGGGCAGAGAGAGAGAGACAGATCGAGGGAAGAGAGAGACAGATCGAAGGAAAGAGAGGGACAGATTGAGGGAAGAGATCGAGAGAAGAGAGAGAAGAAACCCTAACCTGTTTCGACTTGGCCTTCTCTGTTCTTCTTCTTTTCTTCGTCTTCGTTTTCTTCTCTTCATCTTCTGCCTTCTTCTGTCTTCTTCTTCTCTTTTCTTCTGATTTCGTTTCTATTGTCTCTCTCCTTCCTTTTCTGTCTCCCTTTCCTTTTTTTTTTTTTTCTTGATGTGGTCTCTTTTCTTTTCTTTCTTTTCTTTTCTTTATTTATTATTTACATTCATGTTTTTATTCAATTAAAATTTATAAAATAAATTATTTTTATTTGAAAAAAATCAATTTTTATTAAAAAAATTTAAGTATTGTGTTTATTAATTTTATGATTATTGTAATTTTATAGGAACCAATGAATTTTTTTTATTTATTTAAATTTTAGATATATAATAAATAAATAAAATTACATTTATTAAATGTGTCCCTAGCGTGTGGTGTCCCCCATTTTTTGAAAATTTGCATGTCTGGGTGTCTGTGTCGTGTCTCGTGTCTCGTGTCCGTGTCCGTGTCCGTGTCCGTGCATCATAGTTCTTTGTTATACACGCATACAGAGGCACTTGAACTAGAAACCAAGAGTTTTGGCCATTGCTGATCTTATTCTTTTCTTTCTTGCTTCTTTTTACCGAGATAGCTCTACAAGCACATCATTTGCACAACCTTCTGGAATTTCCTTATCACCTGGTAATATATTAATATAATTTTGCAATTTTCATGTCTTTTAACTACCATCATGGAAGTTTTTGCAAGAACTTTCAACTATTATGATGGATATAACTTGATTTTTATTATTATTTTCTTCCATAGATTTGAAGGAAGCATATATTGCTGATAGTGAAAGTAGCTCCATTCGAGCACTTGATCTGAAAACAGGAGGATCAAGATTACTAGCTGGTGGTGATCCAGTTTTCTCAGACAATTTGTTCAGGGTATATCTCTTTTCAATTAAGAAACCAGTTTCATGTAAGACTAAGAGTCAGACCACAGATTATGCAGACATTACCAATAAATCTTGGAACTTAATTTTTAGTTTGTTACACTGTTGCAACATATGTAATTTTCTTCTATTCATGCTCTGTTTAACTTTTGCAGTTTGGAGATCATGATGGAGCAGGATCTGAAGTACTTCTTCAACATCCATTGGGTGTCTTATGTGGGAAGGATGGTCAAATTTATATAGCAGATTCTTATAATCACAAGGTACTTCTTGCTTGATTATTTGACTGAAGAAGCTGTCTAGACGCTAACTGTTGCACCATTCACCCAACTTCAAATCCGAATCTGGATTTCTAGCACTTACTGAAAATTAATATTAGATTTTCTTAATATGGAGAAAGTTAAATAACCAGAAAAAAAATCAGTTGAAGTTGAAATTGTAAAATTTTATGAATTTGATCTGACATCTATGAATTTTTTTTTGGTTGGTAACACAATGTGGGTACTAATATCATGCCCATAATGCCAGATAACATCTATGGATTTATTTTCCACATTCCTGATTTTGTAGGACCTAAGACTTGTTAATCCCTTTCTCCCAAGGATTTTGTTCCCTTCATATTTGACACATTAAACTCCCAACTATCTTTAAAATCTTTGAGTGTTAATGTAACTCTATATAATAGATGGTTATGCGCATGAGATTGAAAAGTTCTTATTGTTGGCATTTTTCAGGATGACAGCTTTTCCTTGCTATTACGTCATGTTTAGTAATATTACTCCTGCCCAACTCTGTCCACCCTGTTGAGTTGTATATTGTGCTGTTCATCTTGATTATTATGGATTTTTATTTATTTATTTATTTTTTCCCGTTCGTTTAATGCAGAGCAATAGCTTCTAGTAGTACCAAATTAATGTTTTAATATATATTATTTTTCCCATTACCTCTACTAGGGAGAGCTTTAAAACTGTGGATATATCTTGCATATCATTAAAAAGGTTCCTATTGGGTTAGGTTATCAGCATGCACTATGACTAATTTCAGTTTAAACCAAATAAAATTTACTCTTGGAATATATTGTATTTTCTTTATGAGCTAATTATTGTTAGATTATAGTCATATGAAATAGTGAAGTTGGGAAGGCTGCTGAAGTTTGTTTTTCCAATTTCAGATTAAGAGGTTGGATCCAGCTAGTAAAAGAGTGTATACTATAGCAGGTACAGGCAATGCTGGTTTCAAGGATGGGAAGGCCCTAGTAGCTCAGGTCGGACAATATTTGATTGCTTTTTTCTTATTTCCGTAACTCTGCATAATCAACGCAGTGGCACTTACTTTGACTTTGCAATTGGTATGGATTAATAATTTGTTAAATGACCCTATAACAACCAGAGTTAGTAGAGAACCATGGCATTGGTTCAGATGATGGAATACCATATGCATGCAACGCAAAAGGTTTCTTGATTCTTATCAAATTGTTGAAAGGATTTAACAGTAAGGATGCAATTAATAATCCTGACAATTTGCAATCTAAGACATCATGTCATGTCTGTCAGTAGTTTGTTATAAGAAATGAGGATTCATTCTCATAAATATTCCATGCAGTTTGAACAAAGAAAAAATATCTTGGAATGCTATATGTTACTTTGAGATCACTAATAATCAAGCTTTAATTCTGGTTAGTCCTATTTAAGGCAAAAGAAAGCTGACTTCATCATTGGGAGGATTATTTGTGATGGATAGCTTGACATACGTTGTTGGCCCCCTTTCCTAACAGCTTAAGCTTTTGAGACTAATGGTGATCTAACATGGTATTAAAGCTCCAGTTTGGGGAGGGGTTGGATTCAAGGGATTGTCTGAATCAGAGTTAGTATCATCCTGGTGGCATTTGTAGGGCCATCGCCAATTAAGAACTCGGTAAACTGGATGATCAGGATAATCAGATTGTCATGATGGCAGGCAAGAATCTCTCTGAGAAACTGGGCATGCTTAAGAGGATATCTCCGAACAGTAGTAACCCTCTCTGTTTGCATTATTTCTTCTCTAGTTTGCATCCCTTCTCTCTATGTATGTATGTTTGCATCTCCACATGCAAGACGGGTTGCACGTGAGGGCGGTTGTTGAATATACATTGTAAGACTGTGAAGTGAAGTCCCACATCACTTGGGTACGAAAGTAATATGCAGTATATAAGCATGAGGACCCTCACTGCAATAGCTAGCTTTTGAGGTTGAGTTCTATCCAAGATAGTGTAATAGTTTGCATGTTATTTATACCAGTCACCTAGCCTGTTTAACCCATAGTTTGCATGTTATTTATACAAGCCACCTGGCTTGTTTAACCCTTGTACAATTATTATAAGCTTGATATGGTATGAGTATGAAAGAAGGCAACTTTGGAGAAACAGCCAAAATGATTGGGGGACAGTGGCTAATTTGCATGTTTGCTCATTGCTATGAGACAAAAAGACATCGAAATTGTGCAACGAGATATATTGTGACATGATAGGGATGCATAATGAAATTATCTCAGCTTAAGCCTCCCCTTGGTTTACCTTATGCATGTGGTTTGTTGATGATTGGATCCATCCATAAGAATTAGCCTCGACTAAAAATGGGCCAGGGCACTATTAGATAACCACTAGTCCTAAAAGTTGAAGTTGTTAGAAAATGGGCCCAACAATGTATATCAAGTTATTTAACACCCTCCCTCACATACAACCCTGTCTTGCTTGTGGAGTTGCAAACAAATATGCATAGAAAGAAGCAGAATGCAAATGAGGAACAAATTCAAAACAAAAATTTTGAATCCAAGACCTCCCCCAACAATGCATAACAAGTTGTTAGGAAAATGGATCCAACAATATGCATATCAAGCTATTCAACAGAGAATCTGTTGTAACCAAAAGAATTCCAGCTAAGTGAATATTGAGATTGGTGATTGGGAACACCATGGATGACTAATTTGGTAATAAGGCATCCAAGGGAACTAGTTTAGCCTGAAAGAGTTATAAAGAAGGTCTATTTCATGGTGATATTCAAAAGGACATTGAGTCAAATGTTAAAACTCTCAAGGATCTATGTGATGCAGGAAAAAGGATCAAAGAAGGGGAATCTAAATGGAAAAATATCTAAAATTGAGATATTTGGACAGGACTTGATGGTGCACTTCCAGCAGAAGTCCTATTCCTCCAAACCTACTCCCAAACACACTCCTATATAATAGGAATCCTTGTAATTGTAATAAACACAACATATCAATATATCAATCAATAATACATAATTCATTCTCTCTATTTCTCTATACATCAATTTCTCTTACATGGTATCAGAGCAGGTTTAGAACCTAATATTTTCGCTTCACCGGCGGGCGGCAACCTCACCTTAGCCGTCCGCCGGACCTCAACCAAATTCCGCTAAAGTTTTCTACACGCCCTCACTCTGCCGCCGTATTTCACCGCCGCTCATCTTCCTCCGGCCAAATTCCTCTCAAACTCCATGTCTTTGCCACTGCTAGGCAGTTGATCTATGCTTACAGGAGTAAATGATGTCAACACCTCTGTATCAGAAGGAACTTGTGATACTGTCCATACACAAGTAGATTATGACACCACTCTGGAAGACTTAGTTGCTCAGGTGATGGTTCCTGTAAGATCCCCAGCCGTGGCACTTATTGTCACTAATGCCTTGATGTTGCGTATGCCTTTTGAAGCTCTGGCAGAAACATGTGAGGCTGATAGATCTGCTTTCGACATGCCCTTACTGCTATTTGTAGCCCTTGTAGGGGCCACAGTTGGAGGACTGCTTGCAAGACACAGGAGAGGAGAATTGGAACGGCTGAATGAGCAGTTGCGCCAGATCAATGCAGCACTAAGAAGGCAAGTAAAGATCGAGTCTTATGCCCCCACTCTAAGTTATGCTCCTGTTAGTGGTAGAATACAAGAAAATGAAGTAATTGTTGATCCAAGGAAGCATGAATTGATTTCCCATTTGAAATCTGGAAAGAATTTTCTGAGGAATCAAGATCCAGATAAGGCATTTGTGGAGTTTAACGCTGCTGTGGCTGTTCCATCGCCATGGGAAGTACATGGCTGTGGCTGTTCCAAACAGATTCATCTCATCTCTCTCTCTCATCTTTGATGTGGTGCCCAAGGATGTCAACACTGCTGTGTTGTTTTTAAAAAAAGTAAAAAATACGGAATGTTTGGAGAGATTATGACAATAGAAGTTAAATAACAAAAGCAAAAAATATAAAAGAGATTATGTACATAGAAATTCTGGTTTTCTTGTGTACATGGTAAGAGAAATTTATGTATTCTGGTTGTTAGATTCTCCTTGCTACAACTTCTACTGATGGAAAATGCCGAGTCTTCTCCACTTTCATAAAAGGTGTTGATACAAGGTATGTTTACTAAGGTTGTGGAGCATTCTTGGTTTTGCTAATTAATGTTGTCCTTGAAATACTTGTACTAAATTATGTATGTTGCTATTTGGCAATAAAACAGGGATTCAGGAACAAGATCCACAACGGATTCAAAATTTGGAGAGGTTCTATCTATATCCCTTATGTTTATATGTTATCTATATTTCTTTGTCTCAGTCATATTAAAGGTTTTGGTATGATTAATTATGGTATGAGTAGGACTGCAAATGAACTGAGTCGAGCTGAGCTGAGCCGAGCCGAGCTTTGCTGAGCTTGAGCTCGGCTCGTTTGCTTGTCGAGCTCGTTTATTAAGCTTGAGCTCGGCTCGATAAGAAACTAGGCTCGAGCTCGGCTCGGCTCGGCTCGTTAACATTAATGAAGCTCGAGCTTGGGTCGATAATTTTTTTTTAATATTATTTATGTAGAAATTTAATGTATAAAGAGAAATGATTGTATTATTGATTGTTGTATATTGTATATTACAAATGGTGAGGGGTTCCTTATATAGGAGATGTAGTGGAGTAGGTGGAGTAGGTGGTAGTGGTAGGTGTGTAGTAGGTGGTAGTAGGTGGTGGTAGGTGTAGTAGGTGGAGTAGGTGATGGTAGGTTTTAACAAAAGTAATATGCAGTATATAAGCATGAGGACCCTCACTGCAATAGCTAGCTTTTGAGGTTGAGTTCTATCCAAGATAGTGTAATAGTTTGCATGTTATTTATACCAGTCACCTAGCCTGTTTAACCCATAGTTTGCATGTTATTTATACAAGCCACCTGGCTTGTTTAACCCTTGTACAATTATTATAAGCTTGATATGGTATGAGTATGAAAGAAGGCAACTTTGGAGAAACAGCCAAAATGATTGGGGGACAGTGGCTAATTTGCATGTTTGCTCATTGCTATGAGACAAAAAGACATCGAAATTGTGCAACGAGATATATTGTGACATGATAGGGATGCATAATGAAATTATCTCAGCTTAAGCCTCCCCTTGGTTTACCTTATGCATGTGGTTTGTTGATGATTGGATCCATCCATAAGAATTAGCCTCGACTAAAAATGGGCCAGGGCACTATTAGATAACCACTAGTCCTAAAAGTTGAAGTTGTTAGAAAATGGGCCCAACAATGTATATCAAGTTATTTAACACCCTCCCTCACATACAACCCTGTCTTGCTTGTGGAGTTGCAAACAAATATGCATAGAAAGAAGCAGAATGCAAATGAGGAACAAATTCAAAACAAAAATTTTGAATCCAAGACCTCCCCCAACAATGTATAACAAGTTGTTAGGAAAATGGATCCAACAATATGCATATCAAGCTATTCAACAGAGAATCTGTTGTAACCAAAAGAATTCCAGCTAAGTGAATATTGAGATTGGTGATTGGGAACACCATGGATGACTAATTTGGTAATAAGGCATCCAAGGGAACTAGTTTAGCCTGAAAGAGTTATAAAGAAGGTCTATTTCATGGTAATATTCAAAAGGACATTGAGTCAAATGTTAAAACTCTCAAGGATCTATGTGATGCAGGAAAAAGGATCAAAGAAGGGGAATCTAAATGGAAAAATATCTAAAATTGAGATATTTGGACAGGACTTGATGGTGCACTTCCAGCAGAAGTCCTATTCCTCCAAACATTGAAAACTGAGGTTAAATGGGTTTTAGCTGAATTAAATGTTCAACCTAGATTTTTATGGCAATGTAAACATATTCATCGTTAAGTGCGTTGAGTCATTGATGAAACAATGAGGATTTCTCTGCTGCTGGAGAAGGATAGTGGGATAGGACTTGATGACACACTTCAGAAGAAGACCCTGTCCTTCTAACAATGAAATGGGAGAATGTTGCATATGTTCAACTAAGGTCTTTATGGAAATCTTGACATTATCAGAATGTTGGATTTATAGTCTGTATATGGTGCTGATCTATACTATTATGTTAGGCCAGGAGGCCTTTTGGTCCCTAGGTTTATCTCTAGTGTCAAGGTTTTCTAAATTGTCCATGCCATTTTGGTTAGAAAATAAAGAATAAGAAGAAATTAGCTGAAGGTTAAAACTGTCACTAAATTTGAAGATGGATATAAGATATCCTCTCTCTCTCTCTCTCTCCAAACCAAACCAACACAAACCCTCTCTCTGTGTACGTTCCACTAATTTGAGTATATGATGCGTCAGATCATGTATAGGACCTAATATGGAAAGAGAATTAAGAGCAAGAAAATGAAATTATAGTCAAAAAATTCTTGATGAACTAAAAATGCTTAATCTGAAAATCTTCATTTATGTACTACAACTCCTCATCTAGACTGATGCTCCTTGGTCTTAGATGCATTTATTTTTGTTTTCTAATACCATATTTCCTTTCTAGAGATGGGTGATCTTGCTGCTTTGTTAAGTGTTATATTTCCATGTAAGGTTTGGGATTGATACACAAAGTGGATGGTTATCTTTAGTATGGTTTCTGTAAATACCTGAAAATACAACCTTGTAATGCTGTAATCCGAAGTATTGCCAGTGTTTTGACATTCATGTTGCGGCATTTTACTATGTTCTTGTGTCAGTGAGCACCCATCTTAGTTAATCTATATAAACCTAATTCACTTGGACAAGGATGGAGCCAGAATTTTACCCGGAGGGAGGCCAAACAGTGGCGTTTCCATAAATTTTATTCAATGGGTCATTTAACAAATTATCATCTATTTAATTTTTTTAGTTGTATAGAACCCATCAAATTCGACTTTCAGGTTACATGTAGAAAAAATTTCAGATCAATTTTCAACACAAACCCACTCAATTTGCACTCAATTTCACCATTTATCTAGCAATTTTGATACAATTTTCACCTCGTTTTTCAAAATAACCAACAATTTCAGGAATAGATTTAACAAGTGGTTAGGAGGGTGAATGAATTGAAAGTTAAGGACAAGAAGAAGGAACTTAAAAGACTGCAATGTCAATTAATTGTCAAGGATAGAAGGGGTGTGAGCCTTGCAAGGGGGGGTTTGGGAAGAAAACATTTGCTAGTGCTTTTTTTTTTTTTTTAATCTTCATGGAAGAGTTCAGAAGGGAGTTTAAGGAGAAGTATCCAGACAGTAAATCTATTGTTTTTATTGGAAAAGATAGAGGAAAGCATGTTTGCAAATTTGGCACATGTTTGAAGTTCATTTGTTTGTAATGGGTGTCTTTCGGATTGTAGTTGCTTATTTGGGACTTGTGTATATTTTTAAGTCTTTTCTTTTTATTTGGTTGTACAAGGGTTGTGTCCCCTCAGCACGTTCTCTAATACAATTTCTTTTTGTTGCTAATTGAAAAATCAAGGGGTTGATATCTTATTTCACCATTCTCTCACTAGAGTTTTTTTTGGCTATGCTTACATTTTTTTTTTCTTTATACTTAGAATTCCAATTTTAAACATCTATTTATTATTATTTTCTATTTTGCAGCTCTCAGAGCCATCAGGAATCATTGAGGCACAAAATGGTGATTCTCTTTTCTATTTATATGCTACAAATTCTTCATTAGCTGTCACAGGGTTCATTTCTCTAATTCATATATCAATTTATAAACATTTTGAGCATAGATATTTTCCCCCATTGCTGCAAATGACGTCACAAACTACGTGATTTAATTGATAGTGTAAGTTATTCTTCTGCTTGGTGAAATAGATGCACATAATATTGTTGGAAACCTTGTAGTTGTAGTTGGTGTTGGAATGTGTCTCACATCGCTTAGAATTGGCCCATCTGTGCTGGTTATAAGGTTTCAGTTTTCCTTTCCTTAATACCTGGATTTTAAGGAGAAATGTGAGCTGAGCTTTTCAGTTTGGTATCAGAGCTTGGTTGGGCTTGTGATTGGTGTGCCGTTTGTCTGGCTACTGTATGTTGTGGTCCAGGAGGGTGTGTTGGAATATGTCCTACGTCGCCTATAATTACCCCAACTGTGCTGGTTATAAGGTTCCAGTTTTCCTCTCCTTAATACTTGGGTTTTAAGGAGAAATGTGGGCTGAACCTTTCAATTGTTAGCTCCAGACAATCTGAGTTTTTGAGTGCTTGGTCCTTGTTAACATAGCTATGGACGTTTGACTGCATTCTATTCAATCATCTTGTGTTTTTTAGATTTTATACTATTGCTTGATACACTGAGAAAGCATCGGTGGGAAGCTTATATAAATATGAATTACCTAGATTGTGAAAAACTGAAAGCTAACTGAATCAGAATTGTTTTCTCATAAACTCTTATCACTGCAAAAACTAAGATATTATAGACAAGACATCTCATTCTGGACATAATTCCTGACAAATGCATTATTTGGTAATTGAAGAACCTAGAAAAACAATGAAGCAATCATTTTTATTAAAGATAAATGTTAGGCAGTTGTTCTAGATTCATAGATGAAAGAGGTGAGTCCTGACGGTGAAATAAACACAACCCTACCCAAACCCCACAGCTTGGACTTTCTTGGGCATTTATGCAAGCACTATTTGTGATGTAGAATGAGGATGGAGAATAGGAGAGAGAATGTGTGAGAGAAACATGCAAAGGCCACAACCCTAATCACACAAAAGCCACAGGACATTAATTAATAAATTGTAAATTACACCTCCATGTGGTGGGAAGTTGCTGCACGCGAACTGAATATTGGACCCTCACATTCTGAATCATTCTCCCTGTCTAAGAAAGAGAACTCAACTTAGAGTTCCCTTTTAAATATTAAACTCTTCCGTGCAAACGAATCAAATACTTTGAATATGTGAGCTGTTTTATTTCTTTTGGAATTTAAGCTCCTCAAAAAATGCAGTTCAAATTATCTTGGCTTTCAAGTTGTTGACTAGACATCCTAGCCTTGAATTGAAAATGTAATTAAAATCTTCAATACCAATAAAATCAATCATTTCTAACTTGATTAAATAATAGGATGATAGTGATTCAGTAGGGTCTGACAAATTGAGTGTGTTTTCTTGTTCAATAAGCTCTTTTGTTGGTAAGACCATTTTTTGCTTAGGTTTTCTTGGTTTTTGGGACTTCAACACCTTTTGAATTATTTTTCAAATTAACATCATCTTCCTCGTGCTTTGTGACCTCTTGATCATTATTTACTGTTTGATCTTCACAATCTTTATGTGGAGAACCTGAATTATCTCTCCTAAAACATGGGCTAGCATTTTGTCCAAAGTTACTCGCATTTGTGCCAATTGTTCTGACATCCATCCAGTCATATGAGTTGAACATAGGAAAGTCGAACATCCTTGTTTAACATTTTGTTTCAGTTAATTTCAGTCATCAAGGGAGACAGGAAAGAAGAAAATAGGTCCAAGTCAAATCTAAATTTGATCTGAGAATTTTTGCTTGTTTTCTACCTTTCTAGAATATTTTCCTCTAGAACCAATTTTTCTGCCAATTCCCTTGCACATTCAGAATCATACAAATCCCATGCCTAAATTTCGAATTGAAGGGGAATGAAAGAATGGGAGAACCTGTTACAGAGGTCTTACTTGGAAACGTCAGTATGAAACCAATTAGTCAGTATGAACTAGTCTTCTTTAACTGAGGAACTTGACTTCTTTCTTCTGATGTGGACTTGTTTTCAGTCGATTCAATTAACATATAATAAACTTTACCGAAGCACCTTTAATGCTTGTGCAAAATTCTTCTAAAATGCTAGTATCTTATATAGTTCCCTGATATTTGCAGGAAGACTTCTCATAGCTGACACAAACAATAGTTTAATTAGATATCTAGACCTGAACAAGGAAGAAGCTGAACTTCTTACTTTAGAGCTGAAAGGAGTTCAGCCTCCGACACCGAAATCCCAATCTTTAAGGCGCCTTAGAAGGCGATCATCAGCAGATACAGATACCGTTACAGTTGATGGCGGTTCATCCAATGAGGGCAATTTGTACGTCAAAATATCGATACCTGAAGGGTACCATTTCTCAAAGGTGTCTCTGTCTCTGTCTCTCTCTCTCTCAGCGCTATTGTTCACTTGTATATTATATTCTTAGCCTTCTAACTGAAAATGTAGGAAGCACGCAGCAAGTTTAGTGTTGAAATTGAGCCAGAAAATCAAATGGTTATTGACCCTGTGGATGGGTATCTCAGCCCAGAAGGATCTGCGTCGCTTCATTTTAGAAGACCATCCCCTTCAGCTTCCATGGGGAGAATTAATTGCAAGGTATCACTTTTTACAGAAAGCACTTTAAGGTTATATATTTTGATCTTTGCAAGAGGGCAAATCTTTTCATATCTTCAGGATTTTATAAACCATGTCCTTGTTCATCTATTCAATCCCTGTACCTCATTAATTTAATGCTAACATGAGGTGATTTTTTTTTTAAATAATTTTTTTGGTAATTATGCGTCCTTATGACCAGCAGACTTTGAAGATTGACTTGGGGTTGATCAGCATCTGAACATAGGTGGGGCAAAAATATATACTAACAAAAATTTAAAAAGGAAAATATAGACTACATCAATTTGTTTGGTACCAACGTAAAAGGTGAAAATAACATGAAAAAACATATATAAATAAACATGTTTTTGTATCTTTATGTTGAGTTACAAAAGATAGCTATTGTAAGTCAATCTATCGACACTAGTTGTCAGAGACTAATTTTTTGTTATATTTTGTTCCAATTTTTAAATTTTATACTCTGAACCCCATGCTTCATAGATGTAGATGTGTGGGTCATGCAGCCACTTAATCTCTTTTAAAACCTAGAGGGGGTGAATCTGTATAATTTAAAATAATTAATAGATCCATCTTGATCAACACCATCGGGTTTATATATTATGTGGGATGAGCATTATTAGCCCGTTAACAACCAGAAAGAATATCCTGACTTAACAAAAAGACCCCTGTTTTCTGTTTCAGGCCTTGATGGTCTTGTTATGTCAGTTAAGGACACAAACCCAATTAAAAATTTGACACTGAGAGTTTAACAAGAGGGCTGTACATCAAGGGGGATCAACTCCGGCCTCAGCACCAGTTACAATGTTTTTGTAACTGGAGGCCACCCTTAACTAAGAGTCAGACTCAAATACAACATTTCAAACCAAATTATTTTTGAGATCTTTATTTTCTTTATGGCCTAAGCTCAAGACAAGACTAAACAAATTATGTCAAGGTCAGCTCCAAATTTTTGTCGTGCCCTTTTCCACTTGCAAGCATACTGTTGGAGAAAGGACAAAAACAAATTCATTCAAAAGAACTACGTTTTCCTAATTCTGTGGAGAGAGAATGAGTACCCAAGGAAAAAAAAAAGTGGTAAATGGGTATGTAACAAATTTGGAGTTGATGTCTGTTTTCCAGGTTTACTACTGTAAGGAGGATGAGATCTGCTTGTACCAGTCTCTTGCCTTTGAGGTACCATTTCAAGAGGTAACTCCAGACTCAACCCCAGCAGAAATTACACTGGCGTATCTTGTGAAGCCCAAAACCTCCACTGGCAGCTCATTGCTACCAGTTGTTCGATGATTATGTAGATTTGTATATGAGGTAAATCTCGTCAACAGTTCCTCCTTTATCAGTTCTATTACAAAATTATTATCTTCAATGGATCGTGCGGTTGGTTACAATAGGTTGAAGAAATTTATGTAATTACAGCGATGAAGCTAATATCTATTTGCTCAAACTTCTTACTTCCTTTTTATCTTTTTGTAGTTTTCATTAAAATTGTAATTTGAAACCATATAATATAGATTGTCATTGCTTAGAGAAGGAATATGCAGAGCACACCTACCTGTTCGAACATTTCATTTTGTTCCTGGTTAACAGGACTTATGCTGGACTGATTAGAAATTTTTCAGAATAATCTAATAGCTTCGTAAACCTCAATTTCTAACTAGGATAATTTATAAAACTGTAGCACATACATATACAACCATTACTGTTTGTAGATTGTTCAACTTGAAAATAGAACTAGGGCGGAGCTGTGGAGGGGCCGGGATAATTTGAAAATTATTTATTACCTACATTTTGTAAGTAGTTATAACATGTGTATGGGATGATATGTAATTTAGCAAAAAAAATAGTTTAGTAACTCTCTATTTCATATTATTTCTCTATGTATAACATGTGTATGGGATGATATGTATGAGATGATCTCTTATTATTTTACATGTTAGTCAATAGTTTCAATTTTATTGAATCGAATACAAATGGTGTATGTCACTTCTTTATTTATTTAGTAATGTATTAAAATTAACAAAATATTTTTTTATAGTCATACTTTGGCCCTCGTAAACTATATTTTTTATTCTGTTCTCCAATCAATTATTTATCACTTACTATGAGATGTGATTTCGGTTCCATGCTTTTGTTTGGCGCAACTCACTTGCAACGGATCAATTTATTACTTAGAATTTTATACTAATTTTTATCTTTTTATTTATTTATTTTTCTTATTCATCTCAACTGATTCTCGAGTGTTCTCAGGTGGAGTTGTGAATAATTATCCTATCTTTCAGAAATTTCATGTTGACCGTGTGTCTAATCAATAACAAAAGGTTAAATAAATACATAACTCTTATAATAAGGAGATTGTGGATAACTTATAACATTTCATTGGTCGAGTATATGATCGCTTGATCTTCCTAATCTATTAGATAATTTCTAGGAGTTGGGACAGTGACCTAAGTGAAAAATAAACTTTAATCATTGATCGAGTTATTAAGATATAAACCATAATCAATTAGAACAACTAGTTTAGACTGACTTTATACATTGAAGATTTTTTTTTATTTATTAGATTTTTTTTAAAAGATAACTAGGTGTGTTAAACAATTTTTGACTCGAGTTCGACTTGTTAAAAGTTCGTTTGAGACGACTCGTTTTGTAAACAAATCAAGTTTAAACATAATTTTAAACTTGTTAAGTTTTCAATATAGGCTTTAACGACCTATTATTCAGCTCAATAAATTTATATGTACTATAAAAAATCAAATTATTCGAACTTGACTTGTATTTAGCTTGTTCAAAATCAACTTGTTATGTAAACAAGTCAAGTTTGAACATTATTTTAAAAATCGGTAATTATCAAACTAAACTTAAACAACCTATTACTCTGCCCATTTTCAACCTAAAGATGACTCATTCTATAGAGGATTAGCTAATGTTTGCCTTGGAGACCTCTAGAAAAACACAAACTAAAGTTTATTTTGCCAATTATTTCTTATTAAATTTTATTATATGTCTATATATTATGGTTTTAAATATTGATTAATATTTGTAGTGCTTTTTCCTTTCCAATAGATACACTCCAATATATTGATTGAAATAGAAATGTCATGTATTGATCGGTCCTTGATATTTATAACTGATTTCCAAATTAATTCACAGCCGATATTATAAATTTCTCTCTCTTTTTTTTCTTTTTTCTTCTATAATTCATGATTTTAAAAAATCTATGATCACGTCACTCAATTTTTGCACATATTACTCGAAACAAGTGCCAATTCTAATCGTATACCATGACTAATAAGGCAATTTAGAACTTGTATTTGTGACTAGTTTTGCTTTGGCCTATTGCAAACAGTGAGTTTTGTGGTAATCATAAATCATTTTTCTTTGTATCACTCTTAAAAGAGTTTATGTAGCTTTTCGTGGGAGCACTTGGAATAGTTTTTGAAACCCTCACTTGCTGTTTTTGAAAGCTTACACAAGAATCAATTTCCCTTCATGTTAACATCAAATGATGTTCAGATGGGTTCAATTCAACCTGAATATAAGCGCCCGTTTGTTTTCATAAATAGGTGGGTGAGATTGTTAGTAAAGGCATTATTATTGTGAGGACTATTTGTGAAGAGACTAAGAAAAATTATGTTTGTTTGATAACTAGTGGACTAGCAATAGTTCTTGTTTGTTTTGAGAGATAAAAGTGAGATTAATCATGTAAAATTTCACAAAAATCCTTGTTGCATTGTTATCAAATTTGAGCTTATACTAACTAATAAATGCATTACATATTTTAATATTAAAAAAAATATTTTATAAATATTAATATTATATTTTAATATTAAAAATTATATTCATAAATATATATATATATATATATATATATATATATATCAAAATTCTACTCACTATTTTATAATTAAATGTAAAGATATTATTATACTATTATATTTTTATATTAAAAAATATTTTTATATTAAATTATTTTGATATAAAGAATGGTGGAGTAAAAAATGATGAAATAATTAAAAAAATGATAGAGAAAATACCATACTAATCAACTAGAGCAATTAAATTAGGTAGGATAATAGAGGGCAAAATAGTAAATCCTCCTCCAATCCTAAGAGATTATTTTTCTAATATCATCTTTTATGGGGGACTACTAATCCCAGCCATAAAAGCATATCATAATCCCAAGGTATTGTGAATCCCTTACTCCATTTTACAAACAAATACAATATTAATAGATCTTACATCCATCCTAATCCAATCTCATCCTCTATAACCCATAACAAAGGGACACTAAATGTCTTACGTTAAACGTATATTTCATATCTTACTAGTTGGACCTTCACGCGCTACGCACGTAGGAGTCACATTGCTATTAGCTTTTTTAAGTTAGCTTCATATGTAAAAACACACAGTTGCATTTTCAATTATACAGTTATTGATATTATTCTGCATATCAAGGTAGTGCGTGGGGATCGCATTGCTATTAGCATTTTTAAGTTAGCTTCATATGTAAAAACACACAGTTGCATTTTCAGTTATACAGTTGCTGATATTGTTCTGCATATCAAGGTACTTAAAACATTGAATCTGTCAATTAATCAAGTTTATACATATAACAACTATTAAAGGTATTGTTGCTCTTAAAAAATAATCTAATCTTTGCATATGATACATTATGTCAGTTGTAGTATTCTTATTTCATCTATTTATATAATCTACTTTTAAAAATTTAGTTTCTAAAAATATAGCTAAACCATGTAATATGACTAAAAATGTCATATTGGGACAATTTTTTTTAAAAATATCATCTAATAATTTAAAATTTCAAATTTCAAAATTAAATTAGAGAATATCATAATATGTTCAAAAGTAATAATAATAATCATTTGTACTTTGGAAGATCATAGCATATGGGCCATTTTTATTTTCAATTAAAATTCTACTTCATCCAAACTTCCATATCTCTCTCTATGGCTTCCAATTCTCTTTATGATATGCTTGTAAATGACTCTGACTTCTCTGAATCTAATGATGATTTGGAGATGCTCAAAGTTGTTACTATGGATGAAGAACTACTAGATAGTGAGATAGGATCAAGCTCACGTCGTGGTTCTGTTCGAGGTCGTAAAGTCATTCATCGTGATCATATTTAAGGTCATGAAAGGTTTTTTCTTGACTATTTTGCTGAATCGCCTGTATATCCTCTTGAGCTATTTCGAAGGGGGTTTTGGATGAAGCGTTCACTTTTTCTTCGAATACAAGCTGCAGTAGAAGCGCACGATCCATACTTTCTCCAAAAAAGAAATTGTGCTGGAAAGCTTGGTTGTCTTCTCTTCAGAAGATAACTGTTGCACTTACGATGCTTGCTTATGGAGTAGCCACTGATTTTATGGACGAATATGTAAGAATTGGAGAAAGTACTGCAATAGAAAGCTTAAAATATTTTGTTAAAGCAGTTGTTGATATTTTTTCTAATGAGTATTTGAGGTTACCAAACAGTAATGACATCGCTAAACTACTAGCAGTTGGTGAAAGTCGTGGATTTCTTGGAATGCTGGGGAGCATTGATTGTATGCATTGGAAATGGAAAAATTGTCCGACTGCGTTGAAAGGTATGCTACTAGTCACATTCATGAACCAACAATTATTTTGGAAGCTGTTGCATCATATGATCTTTGGATTTGGCATGCGTTTTTTGGATTACCTGGGTCTCATAATGATATCAGCGTGCTAGAAAGGTCTTTTGTATTTACCGAACTTGTTCAAGGGCGTGCTCCTGCAGTCAATTACACTATCAATGGTAATGAATATACAATGGGATACTATCTCGCCGATGGTATATATTCACAATGGTCAACATTTGTGAAAACAATTCCTTCTCCTCAAGGAAATAAGAAAAAACTTTTTGCTGTAGCTCAAGAGGCGACAAGAAAAGATGTAGAACGTGCATTTGGAGTGCTTCAAGCACGACTTGCAATTGTGTGTCGACCGGCATGTTTTTGGAATACTAAAATACTTAAATATATTATGAAGGCGTGCATAATTCTACATAATATGATCATTGAGGATGAACGGGATGACAATGGAGTAAAAGACTTCAATTATGATTAAATTGATGACAGTCCCCATGTAATAATGTTACAGGAGAGAACTACTGAACTTATGGAATTCATTCAATGTCATCATAACATTAGAGACAGGCAAACACATTCTCATCTCCAATCAGACCTTGTCGAACACTTGTGGCAATTACACAGCGAGTTGTAAAAGTTTTGAATTTGAAGTTTCATTTTATGTAGTATGCTATTAGTTTTGAATGTAATCAATATATGCTTTTAATTTATGTGTAATTTTATAATTCTATATGCCTTTTAATTATATGGTTATCATTTTAATTCTATATGCCTTTTAATTATATGGTTTTCACTTTAATTATATGCCTTATATATATATATATATATAATTAGCAATGTAGAGAAAATACAACACAAAATAGCAGCAAAAATACGAGCAAAATAGTAGCAAAAACACCACACAAATAGCAACAAAATAGCAGCAAAATCAGTTCAAAAACATGTAGCAGATTTACACTTAACTATTTTGCCAAGTTTACATGTATTCTCCTTCAAATTTCCACTCATTCC